TCAAGGGTGTTTTTAGAAAAAACAAGTCACACACCCCCTTCCCCTGGTCCAGTGGCTGACAGCGGGCCCCATGTTCCGTATGCAAAAATGAGATAAGCACTGTATTTGCACCTCAAAGCCAAGTTTTTGTACCACTTTGATGTATGCCACAACTTCTAGCACCAAAGTAACCGTTTGTGTCAAGTTTTAGCACCACTGGTGTAACTGACTCATTAGTTTATCCACCGCCAAATTGACGTGAGCTGGCATGCATTTTGAATGACCATGCACGTACACATTTCAGCACATCATTAACGCTGCTTTTTTGGGGGCATCAATAACGCTGCTGCACTTGAATCACCACCGTCAGCGTGATGGATGCATGCAACACGGGCCCGCAAATATCGGATGTACATATTCATGTTTGGTTCATAGTTAGTATTTTCCCACACTATTTTACTCAGTAAGATTCTTGTTATGGAAAATAAGGCCACATGTCATACACACAAAATATATGGAAGATTTTCCATAGGTAAGCCAACGTGTGGCTAACAATTTAAGCACCTAACCTAAGGCAAGTTCGGCTAAATTGGTGTGGGCGTGTGGCAAACTATGAGACGGCTACCGGTTTTAACTAGCATGATTTAAATTACTATGAGTTGTAAACCTGATAACCAAAAGTAGAAAAAGTGGCGGTCACCTCAAACTGTAATAGTTGTGCTGCTGTCACCTTATAAAATATACAAATAAAAATAGTGGCATTGGTCTTACCTTTCAAACATATAAATCAAATAATGAAAAAATTTGCGTACAAATTGCATTTTTTATAATATGCAAGAATACGTGTATAATGGTGCAAGTTTCGCAAAAAGGAAGTTTCCTAAGAAGGAGCAATTTAGTGGAATTTGTATTATCATTAAAAAGAAAGGAAAGTATAAAAAATAAATCAAATGTTGACAGAACTTACACACATTTACACAGAAGGGTTTTGCAAAAAAAATGTTACACTTTTTATAATACGAAAGAATAACCATATAACAGTGGACGATATTGGTATTACCGTTAAAGAAAAATTAAAATGAAAACAAAATAATGATTTTTTCTAGGGAAGAATAAAACCCTTTAAGAAGAAATTAAAATAAAAACGACATAATAAAATTTTCCAGGGAAGAATGAAACCCTTTAAGAAGAAAGAAAAAATCAAAAACTAAAACAAAATAATAAAGTTTTCTATGGAATAATGAAGCACTTTAAGAAAAATAAATATACAAATTAGAAAGGAAAAAAATAATAAAGTTTTCTATGTAAGAAGGAAACCCTTTAAGAAAAAGAAAATATAAAAACAAAAGCAGCAACAAAAATAATAAATTTTTCTAGGGGAAAATGAAACCCTTTAAGGAGAAAGAAAATTAAAAAAATAACTTGGACACAAGTATGCCCTGAAATTGCACTTTCGTAATATTCAAAAAATAAGCATATACAGTGCAATTTCTGCTCTCTACTATAATATACACACATGGTGTATCATACTTGCGTGTATACTTACTTACAAAAACAAAAATTAAAATATTTTTTAAGAAGAAATCAAGTATAGTGACATTGGTACTACCCTTTTAGAAGAAAATAAAGTAAAAATAATAATGATACAATTTGCACACAATTTACACATAAATTGCAGTTTTTAGTTATGTAAGAATAAACATATAATAATGAATTTTACATAAAAATAAAGTTTGAAACAAGGAACGAATTAGTGGCATTGGTATCGTCCTGAAAAACAGGCAATGAATTTAAAAATAAACATTATAAAACGAATAAAAGAGAGAGTAAATTAGTGACATTGATATTACTCTTAAGAATAAAGAAATACAACTTTCAGACAACTTTGCAGTGGAATTTTTTATGATATGCATTGAATACACATATAATAATGCAACTTTAGCAGTCCAGTATTATTTACACAAAAATTGTATAGTACTTTCATGCATAATAATAATAATAATAATAATAATAATAATAATAATAATAATAATAATAATAATAATATATTTAATTAGAAAAATTAGCACAGAAGAATTA